CATTATAAGTCAAAAAAGGTTTGAATAATCATGCATGTGGTTTAAACAAAAACAAAATCATATTTAGGAATGCATATTAAACATATACACAAAAAATATAGTCATTAATATTAAACATATAATAAACTATATCATATTAAACATGTATACAAACTAAAGAAATTTATAAACTAAATCATATTTCGAAATTTAATATTAAACATGTATTACTACACAAAACATGTATACAAAACTAAAGAATCATGCATAAAACAAATTGAGCATATAAACTAAACCATATTAAACATGTATTAATACCCAAAACCGAAAATTTATATACAAAGCTAAAGAATCATGCATAGAACAAATTGAAAATTTCGGAAATTATATAAAACTAAAAATCATGTATATAATAACGCATTTGAGTGTATTTCAACAAAAATAATGCGAACTTACTTATAATAACATGCATTCATGGAATAAAAATCAAATACTAAAAATAAGAATGAAATAATTTAAATTTAGAACACATAACCTTGATGAAAAAGGTAAGAGGGACGGCGAAGATCGATGGAGCTAGGTACCGGAGAGCGGCGGCGGACGGTGGCGACAGATGGTGGAGAGCGGCGGCGGACGGTGGCGACGGACGGTGGAGGTCGAAGGGGTTGGCGGACAGAGAGAAGAAGTAAAGGGAGAAGGAGAGTTTTAGGATTTTGGAGTGTCGAATGAAAAATTCGCCAAGTGTTAATTATATATATGGGCGTAGTCACGGAGTTAGTCACGGATATATCCGTGACTACACTGTCGTAGTTAATGTAGTCAGACACGCGGAAGACGAAGTGTCAGCGCCGTCATTGACCGGCGTAGTCACGGTCAAATCCGTCTTTGAAATGGTAGAACTTTATAGCCAAATAAAGTCTAATCTCTTGCGCATGCCCCTATTTTACATTTTGGTACGTCAAAGATTGAAGGAAAGTAGGGGCATGCTCAACACAGTACACTTTATTTGGCTACCAAGTTTGTGGTCTTTTTATAATACTCCATCCGTCCCTAAAAGAACTTCCAACTTTCTCTTTTCGTCCGTCCTAAAAAGAACTTCACTTTCCCTTTTTGGCAAAGAATTTGTGGTTCACATCATTTCTCTCTCCTCTGCACAACTCTCCACCACACAATTCTCACTTTCTTAATCCGCGTGCCACTTTATTTTGGAAGAACATTTAGGGACGGAGGTAGTATAAATCTTTGAGAAAAGTTTGCAGTAAATAATATGTGAAAAATAGAGTTTTTATATCCAAATGGTTAAATTTTTATGCATTGAGTAGCAAACTACATTTGAATTCAACACTATTCACATTTTCTATATTGAGTATGTTTTGCCGAGTATTTATTAATGTATCATTTGGTCAATTTGTGTTTGGAAGTTAAAATGTGGAGGAACAATTTTGGAAAGTTTTTGTAACCTTCATTTAAGTTTCTCTAAAATGAGAGAGTTCGAAGGATAACTAATTAAATGATAATTCAAGCTTAATTAAAAATATATATCAGTTCAACTATTTGAATTCATCATGTCTTAGAAATGATTGTAATTATTATTCCTTGTAAAACTTTCTTTTTTAAAATTTATTACTTCCAAATAAAAGAAGAATTTTCTCGCCTTTTCTTCCCTTCAATTCCCATCCAACAATTTACCTTCAAAATCTTTCCTCTCTTTCCCCCGAAACTCCCAAACATACCCTAGCCCATTTGTCATATGATGTCATGACGATGCTTCTTAAGTGACGTGTATCGTGATCTTATTCTTTAAAACTAGCTTGCTTTGTGTCATGTAAAATCTTCATGTGCTTGACTTGCTTTACAGCCAAACTTACCTTAGGTAAAAACGATACGCATTATAATTTACCATGTATTGAATAACTTCGAACTCTTCAAACAAATGCGACTGCTCAAAACCAACAAAGCAAATGCAACATGCCGGTCATATATAATGACATGATGGATTGATGGGTTATAACCAAATACTCAACATTTATAATTAATTAAAGGCAATTTATTTTGCAGTATGAACCACATTAGTTTTTTATGGAGTATGTAATTCACAGTCTTGCATATATGTTCTCCACATCCATCAAACACACAGTGTCGTATCCAGAAAATAATTTCAGTGGGGGCAATTTTTGCATTATAAACACATTATTTTAAAATAAGCTATAAATAATGAGTATTTTATTCAACAACAAAATTAATACGTAACTTTTCATTTTGTCCAAAAATTATATTCGCATTTTAAATATTTTGTATGGTTAAATTTTACTTTTATAATATGAAATATTAATAACATTACTTGTAATTTAGTGAAATTATATTAATAAAAAATAAATGAAACACATAACAAGTAATACATGCCATTAGAATAATTTAAATTGTAAATGTACAGTAATGTATTCCTTATTATATGCAATCAGCAATCATGTTTTAAGAAAAAAATTGCACAATATTATGTGTAGATAAATTTATAATATATTGCAAAAACTATACCAATTGTTTGTCAAAGTGAAGTTTGTCATTGTTTGAAGAACTTATAAAAGGTTAAGATAGAGCTACCATCAAACACAAGTACCTAAACACTCATACAGAAGTGCAAAAAGCAATTAATAAAACCAAAGGTGGCTACTTATAAAGTGCAAAAATCAATTAATAAAACAAAAGGTAGCAGCTGCAGGGATTTGAAGCCATGAACCTACACTTGGTTCCTAAAATTCACAGCCGCTGTTCTGCAGCGTATTTTACTTCATTATAGCTATTAGGTGTTATATATACACAAATATTATTTTTATTTGTATACATAAATTATATTTTGTACTCCGTATATATACATACATACAGGGGAGGGTTCTAGTGAGAACCCCTCTTAAAATGAGAACCCGTGAGAACCCCAGAGAATAGGTGGTATTTTTGACTGAAATTTTTTGTGTATGTTCCTTATCAAGTCTAGTTCATCCATACCAAATTTGAGCAAAAAATTCAATCGGGAAGGTCGTCAAATGATTTTTGAAAGAAAACTGCGTTTTATATGTATATTCCGGACCAGTTTTCTTTCAAAAATCATTTGACGACCTTCCCGATTGAATTTTTTGCTCAAATTTGGTATGAATGAACTAGACTTGATGAAGAACATACACAAAAAATTTCAGCCAAAAATACCACCGGTTCTCAGGGGTTCTCACAGGTTCTCATTTTAAGAGGGGTTCTCACTAGAACCCTCCCCCATACATACATACATACATACATACATACATACATACATACATACATACATACATACATACATACATACATACATACATACATACATACATACATACATACATACATACATACATACATACATACATACATACATACATACATACATACATACATACATACATACATACATACATACATACATACATACATACATACATACATACATACATACATACATACATACATACATACATACATACATACATACATACATACATACATACATACATACATACATACATACATACATACATACATACATACATACATACATACATACATACATACATACATACATACATACATATATAGAGGAAACTTCATGTCAGGCCGGCCTGACGGACTGCTCCGTTCGACCGAGCCCGTTTGGGTACCTTCCCGGTGGAATTGTTTGATGAAATTTTTTGAGCATGTTCCTCATCAAGTCTAGTTTGTTCATACCAAATTTCAGCTCAAAATTCGATCGGGAAGGCATTCAAATCATTTTTTGAAGTTGACTGTAGTTATATAAATTATGATGAATTTGGATATTATCATAATGGACGAAGGAGTATGTAATAATACATTCTTAATTTAAATTGAACATTGGTTATATCATAATTCTAGTCTGTTTATTACTTCTACTTAATTGTTATAATTCTACAACCATTTTTTTAAAATAAATTTCTTTAAAGATAATTTAAAATATAATTTAAAAGAAATTAATTTTTTTATAAATAAAAAAGTTTAGTCACGGATCCGATCCGTGACAAATGTTTTGTCCGGATCTTTCAAATATTATTTTGAAATTCTTTTAAAAATTAAATAAAATTAATAGGAAAATTTAGTCACGGATAACGTCCATGACAAATCGAAAAATTTGAAAATTCGAATCGAAAATTTGAAGTCTGAAATTTTGAAATTTTCAAAATTTGAATGTTTAGTCACGGACACATCCGTGACTAATATGGCGGATTTGACGAATTTTAAATAAACGTTAGTCATGGACAGGTCCGTGACAAATTTGAGGAATTTAAAAAAAATAAATAAAATTTAGTCATGGATTTATCCGTGACAAACGTACCGGAATAGCAACTCCGGTCACGAATTAGTCACGGACCTTGGCCGTGACTAACTTTAATCACGGACAAAAGGCCGTGACTAAAGTTAATCACGCCCGTTTAGTCACGGATTCGGTCCGTGACTACATCCGTGACTAAAAAGGTTAGTCACGTATTTTTAACACTACGGTCCGTGACTACGGCCCTGTTTTTAATACTCTGGATTAAAAAGTCCTACGAAATCATGGAAGGGCAGGATAGGAAGCGTTATAACTTGCAATTACTCCTATTATATTGTGTGAATTTATATTTTAGGTTCATATTCTTGCAATTTACTACTCCGTATTAAATTTTTCATAAAATGTAATCCTTATTTTGTAAATAATCCAAATTTATTCATTCGTTATGGGTGAAACTGTTGTAGTCAAACGTGGAAGACTGTTAGGCGCTAGCTAGCTAGTGTAATTATTGCACGTACGTTCTTTAGAAGAAGAATTTAGATATGACCATGCTAGCTACTTAGCTAGGAAGATCAAGACTTGTGCTAATGGAAGACTGGATCGAGACTTTGCGAAATTATAAGGAAATGCATGGCTCCCCTATTTATAGCTAGGATTAACTAGGGCACATCCAATATAAATACAACTAACCAAATTAAGATACCAAATCTGAAATCTTAGCCTGCCTGCATTCAATTATATTAATAATAGTGAATACAGAATGGTTAATCCCAAAAGCATCTCAGTTTTGCTCCTTCATTCTGCGCTTGCCTTTCTCTCGGTTGAAATTGCTAATGCCCAAGGCCTGAATCCACACTTCTACAAATCGACATGCCCGAATGTAACACACATTGTGAGGAAAAAGATGAATGACACCATAACTCGTGATAGAACCCTAGCAGCTCCCTTGTTGAGAATGCATTTTCATGATTGCTTTGTTATGGTATATTTAATTTTTTAGTTTTTTTCCCAGTAACGTAACTTTGTTAATCTTTTTGTGTGTGTTTGCATCGTAACTACTGAACAATTTTTTTTTGCACTTCTTTTATGATGACTTTATTTGCAGGGATGTGATGCTTCTGTGCTGCTAGACTCCACAAATGGCAATAAAGCTGAGAAAGAGGCCATCCCTAACCAAAGCCTGAGGGGCTTCGAGGTTATTGATGAGGTGAAAGCAGTGTTAGAGAACCATTGCCCCGGCATTGTTTCTTGTGCTGACATTCTAGCCCTCGTTGCCGAACGAGCGGTTCGCCTGGTAATTGCAATTATTACCAACTCAATTAGTCAATTCTTTAAAATTTTGTCCTTTGTTATTTTTCCAATCAACATTCCTCAACTTTGGCCAATGATTTTGATTACTACGTAGTATAAAGTGATACATTTTATATTTTTATGAAATTATTTTTTACAAAGGATATTTTCGCATTACTTTTATATTATACGTAGTGAATTGTAAATCATTTCCTATGTCATTCTTTAAAGTTTAACTTGATTGATTAAAACATTCAAAAAGGACAATCTTTTAAGATCAGAGACAAAGGGGTAATCCTTTTTTTTTACTGTTTTACTAAGCTAACGAGGTTCCTCCTAAGCCAACTAACTATTATTCCATATTTCCGTACATCTCAGCTCATGTTAGTTTATACTTGAGAGAATTCCCTAAATAGGAGTAAAAAGTTTTGAAATAATTTAATTTCAAAATAAGACTACCATGTCTTTTATTCCCGAATAAATTCCACTTTTGATCATACGAGTTTTATGTCAATTCCACATTTAGTCCATGTTTTTCACTTTGTCCGGTTTTGGTACATGACTATTGTGTTTTCGTCCATATGTAGTCCTTCCGGCCATGTTTCTCGTTGTTAAAATCGCCGGAGAAGGACCATAAATGGTCAAAAAACATTAGTCAAGTATCAAAAGTGGACAAAGTGGACAAAGTGGAAGACACGGACTATATATGGAATTGACATAAACCTCGTAGGACCAAAAGTGGAATTAATTCTTTATTCCCTGAGTATGAGTAAATTTCTGTCAAGTTTGACATTACTAGGCTTTGAGCGCATTTTTTCCAAACTTGACAGAATTACTCCTATTTAGGGAATAAAAACATGAAAGTCCTATTTTGGAATTTCAAAACGTTTTTATTCCTATTTAGGGCAATTTCTATATACTTATTATTATACGGTTAATATATATATATATATATATATATACTTATTAATACGTATATAGTACTTGTATACGTAATATAAAGGGTAGTACTGATTTGGGTTGGTAGCAACCCCATTAAAGGAGTGTTTACTAATACTTAATTTAAGCACTTCTCAGCTTTTAACTTAAAAAAAGTTAAAATAAGTGTTTGTCAAACCTTACTTCTAATTAAAAAAATCACTTTAAAGCCAAAAGTTAGAAGTTGGTATATACTAACTTCTAACTGCTTTTAGATATTCTTATACTACCTCCGTCCCAATTTGTTTTGCAAAGTTAACATTTTTTTGTCAACCAATAATAAAAGTCAACCCTTCCTATAGATAATTAATTCAATTTTCAATAATTAAAATTTACATATTCAAAAACTACATTAAAATCTCTTCAAAGTTGTAAACTCCAAATTCAAAAGTAATTAAAAATTAACATCATAATTAAGTGAACAAAACGAGACTGTTTGACTAAGAAAAGTCCAATTTGCAACTCTTCAATGAATTTTAGGGATGATTATCATGGCACACATTTTCTGCCAGACCCAAAATGCCCTCCCTGTTTCCATCGCCAACGTTCTCCTACTGCTTTCTCCGACATTTTAGAACACAACCACAAGTTCCATCAAACCGGCGTCTTCGTCGCCAAGCAGGTGGAGGAGAATTATCGGAAGCCCAAAAAATGTCAAGGCGGTGATGATGATGATGATGATTAGAGCCCTTACGTGTTTGGTTTACTTTTTCGTTCTTATTTTGTTTGAATTCGGTATTTTCTCACTTTTGGAGATGGATCTGAGGAATTGGTTACTCTTGATTACTTCCATATAATCAAAAGCAGGGATAATTTTTTTATTCAAAAACAAAGAAATTACCCACATGTCGCAGATGAAACAAGAAAAAAACCATATCCAAAAGGGCATGCATATCCGTACTTTTATAAAACATTACATAAAAAATCACTTTTTTATCAAACACTTGAACTTTTACCTTTTAATATAAATCACTTCTATTTTCAAATACTATCTACTTTTACTTTACATCACTTTTCCAGTAATCTCTTAAAAAATCACTTTTAAAAAGCACAAACAATCACAAACACTCCAAGTATGGCCCCATTTAAAAAATACAAGTAGTGCCATGGCTTAAGCGTATGAAAAAAATCTTGTTGTACGCAAAATTAGTACAAAAATTGTACATAACCTACTTAGTTGCATGTGTACACAGGTTAATTCGTTTTAAAAAGGCAGGATTTTATGTCAAAATATATGTGTACACAGGTAGAGTACAATTTGTATATACCAAGAATTGTCCTAAATGTATTCCCCTTCATCCCCATAGAAAATTCAAAAAAATGACATATTTTTTATTAATACTATAAAATTTGGACAATGACTTTAATTATTATATATTTACGTAAAACTTATAACTTTAATTATATTCTTATAAAAATACTTTTAACAAAGAACATTTACATATAATATTCATATTTGAAATAATTTCATATTAAAAAAATATCATTGATCAAACTTGATCATTGTTGATCTAGAAAAGTCATTATGACCAAGCTTTATAAGACAGGGGTAGTAGTATATACAGAATATAATTGTTAAGTACTCCCTTCATCCCTATAAGATTGTCTCATCTTTCCTTTTCGGTTCGTCCCACTAAGATTGTCTCATACCAAATTTGGTAAAGTTTGTGTGACTCCAAATTATTCTTATTTTATCGCTTCGATATTGATCACAAAAATCGACTTTTCTTAGTAACCACACCACCTCCAGCGGAGCGGAGGTCGTATATTTTAATTTTGTTTATTTGACACCGCATTATAATCTTCTATTGGTTGCTAGGGTTTTACCCTTTTATTATAATGTGGACCTCAATATGTATTACTCATGTGAGCTGAGCTTTTGCATGATCAACTAATAGACAGGGGGGCCATCATGGCAAGTTTTCTTGGGGCGTAGAGATGGAAAAGTATCACGCGTCACTGAAGCTGTGAAAAACATTCCATCGCCTCTTTCCAATATCACAGTTCTGAAACAAAATTTTGCTGACGTGAAGTTGAATGAAACCGACCTTGCAGCTCTGTCAGGTCGGGGGTGCAAACCCGTTTTTAATGCATTTTTGACATATTTAAAGTAATTAAATCCAATATCCTATGCACGAGATTCATCACATTGTATCTTATCTTTCTAAATTAATGAAATATGAATGAATGGGTGAACAGGGGCACACACCATTGGGAGGGCTCATTGCTTTACTTTTGCAACACGTTTGTACAATTTCACGGGAGAGAACGACAAAGACCCAAGCTTGGATCGAGAGTACGCACGTAAGCTGCAGAGCGCATGTCCGCCGCAGGCGAGCAATGCGACCAAAGTAGAGATGGATCCCGGGAGTTTCACAAGGTTCGACACCGCATACTACAGCGGTGTCGCGAAACACCGAGGGGTGCTGGGGTCGGATGCCGGTCTCCTCAAAAGTGACATCACAAGGAAGTATGTGCGAGGTCACGCCTCCGACTCCTCCAGTTCCACCACAGCCTTCTTCCGAGATTTCGCAAAGTCAATGGTGAAGATGGGCAACATTGGCGTCCTCACTGGCACTCAGGGCGAAATCAGGAAGATATGTTCCCGCATTAATAATTAATAATTAATCAATTCTACTTCATGCACAGAATGCATGAAATAGAACTATATATACACGCGGTATAATACGTACTCCCTCCGTCCCTTTTTATTTAGCAAAACTTTACTTTTCAAATCAATGGATGTTAAACTTTGAATGATTATATATTTATACGTGGTTGTATTGATAATGAAAATCATATGGAAATATTTTTCCTTAAAAATTCAATATAATTGGGTGAGAGTATAGTACAATATATAGGACGTACATGGCAATCGGGACCGAGAAAATGCATAGATAGGACCTGGAAAGCACCCATGCATATCGAAAATTGGGTTATATTCCAATCTTCGATCTCCTTTATCTTCTTTAAGTTTTGACTTCTTTCCCGTGGCCTTTCTTTTTCTCTGCAATATAATCATCTCTTTCTTTCCATGTACGGAATATCCTCCTTTCTTTTAATTTGTACGTGTGTTACACTGGTTTTGTTTGAATTCGATCAGTATGTGTAATACTATGAAAAGAAATTGATCTAATTAGGACTAAAACATAGTGAATATTCCAACTTAGGACTTAATGTTTTAAATTTCCTAAATAGGACTCCCTATTACCATTCTACCCCTGAATAAATATTTCCGTCTTCCGATCTCCTCTGCCTCCTGTTCCGCATCGATCGTCCCAACTAGGAAGATGAGACCGACTACCTACGCCAGATGCAGATGCCCTTCGATCGCAGCCATCTGCACATCCAGGTACTCTTCTTCCTCCCCTCTCCTCCTCCTCCTCCTCCTCCTCCTCCTTCCCCCTCCTCTTTTATTTTTTTTGGTCTTCTCGTTCCCAATCAATCGCTACGCATTCAGGTACTCTTTTTCCTCCCCCTCTCCTCCTCCTCCTCCTCCTCCTTCTTCCTCATCCTCTTTTCTTTTTTTGGTCTTCTCCTTCCCATTCTCTTCGATCTTGGGTCCTCTGTTCTCTTCCTCTTTAGATTTCAATTTTTTATTTAAATTTTGATTTTTGAAAGTTTCAAATGAAGATAAATTTGAACTCTAATTTCTTATTATCAATTTTGAATCTCAAAATGTCTTGACTAATAATTCCAGAAAATGACACTTTTTGAATAAGGAATGTCAAAATTATTGGGTATTTTTACAAAATGTCACTTATATGTCATTACAATATTTTGGAAATGTCATCTTGAGAATGTTATTTTTCTATATGAAATTGTCATTATTGTGACATTTTCGTATATCAAGTGACATTCTCGCATATCAAGTGGCATTTCTCATGGAGGTCTGCATAGACTCATTGGAGGGGGAGAAAATGATTTTTAATAATGTCACTTTTATGACATTTTATTTGTCAGGTTGACAGTTTAAAAAAGAAAATGGCATTCCATGCCATTTTCAGAAGAGTAATAATGTCATTCTCATGACATTTTCAAAACAAAAATGTTGATAAAAGTGACATTTTCTATTTGCTAGTAGTTTATGACATTTGAGGTTCCAAATTAATTAAAATTAATCAACAAAAAAATGAAATCTAAAGAAGAAGAAAAGAGAGGACCCAAATTTGAAGAGAATGGGAAGGAGAAGACAAAAGAAGAAGAAGAAGAAGAAAGAAGAAGAGGAGAGGAGAAGAGATGGAGAGGCAGTTACGACAGCTTTCATGGCATCGACCCTGCGCAGGTGTTGGTGGTGTCTCGCTGCAGTGCTTCACGGGAGAGTTGGGAGTTTTGTTAACCTTTTGTATTCAGGGTTAATTTTGTCCATCTAATATATTTTAGTCCTAACGATGGTCTAAAAAACACGGTGGTCCTTATTTTGCAATTCTCGAATCTTTTAGTCCCATTTTGGCGATTTACTCTATATGAATTAGGTTTTCGATATGTGTAATATTATGTGCAATTGGAATGTAACGATTTTTTCCCCTGTTTAACAAATCTTCTACTACGCATTAATTATATTTAACATTTATTTGAATTAATGGATGATAAAATCAATATGACAATTATGAATACTTGTAGAAGTACTATATGTAAACAACGATTCGGCCAATTAGAATATGACGATTATAAGTGAATAATGATTAGAAAAAACTTTAAATCAAATAATGATTACAAAGACAATATAATTTTTTTAAACGAAATAGTTTGATTTTCTAAAACTAGTATATACCTAATGTGAGAATAATGGAATGGCTTACCCAATTGGGAGCCCTAGATGTCACATATATAATGAATAGAGTTCTGAGTACATTAGGAAACATAAGAAATATGTAAACCTAATTAATGAATATTAATTACTCTATTATACCCCCTCAAGCTGTGCAGGGGAAACAACGCGCAGATTGTCTCTAAGAAAAATGAAGCGCTGCGGAGATAAAATTTTGGTAAAAATGTCTACGAGCTGAAATTGTGTGGGAACATAGCGAACAATCAGATCTCCATGTGAAACTCTCTCACGAACAAAGTGATAATCAATGCTGATGTGTTTGCTCCGAGCATGCTGAATAGGATTTGTGGACAAATAAGAGGCCGAAATATTATCACACAATAACCGAACAGGCCGGCAAATAGGTACGCCTAATTCAAACAATATAGACCGAATGTGAAGAGTATCCTGAACTGTGTAAGCAATAGCCCTGTATTCTGCTTCTGTGGAAGAACGGGAGACAGTTGGTTGCTTCTTGGATTTCCATGAAATCAAATTAGGACCCACAAAAATAGCAAAACCGGAAGTGGACCGACTACTATCAGGACAACCAGCCCAGTCAGCATCAGAATATGCGTGTAAAATAGGAGAAGAAGAGCTCGGCTGTAGGAGCAAACCATGATCTGGAGTTCCCTGAAGATACCTGAAAATACGCTTAACAGCCAAAAATGTGAAGTACGAGGTGCATGCATAAACTGAGAAACCAGGTGAACAGCAAATGTAATATCTGGTCTAGTCATGGTCAATTACTGTAAAGCACCTACCATACTTCTGTACTCCGTAGGTTCTGTGAGAAGATCGCCATCAGTGAGAGATAGCTTAGTTCGAGCAGGTAGCGGAGTGCGAACAGGTTTAAGGGTGTGAAGATGAAACCTGGTTAATAGATCAGGCACATATTTTTGTTAAGATAGAAATAAACCTGAGGAGGTGCGAACAGCCTGGACACCTAGGAAAAAGTGTAAATCCCCCAAATCCTTCATGGCAAAACAACGACCAAGACAAGAGATAAATGTGGAAATAAAGGAAGGGGAATTACCAGTGATAATAATGTCATCCACATACAAGAGGAGATAAAGAATATGAGACCCATGGCGATAAATAAATAAAGAATTATCTGACTTGCTACAAACAAAACCATGGGTTAACAAGAAACTACTAAATCGGTAAAACCAAGCACGCGGAGCCAGCTTAAGACCATAGATTGCCTTCCTGAGCCTACAAATATGATTAGGAAATTGTGGATGTACAAACCCAGGAGTGTAACACCGTCCCCAAATATATTTACTTTTAAGTAAGTGATGTAATAAAACTTGTGGAATGATTTACAAATTTACGAAGTTGTAAAATCTTATTATTCTTTCGCGTGAATAGTAAATTGCACGTGGGGCCATACCGGGAGCGGGGGCCACCCAACATTCCCGAGACCACATATTTTATTCATCTTGGTAAAGATAAATATTTATATGGTGGTGGATATTTTACTTGGGTCGTGGAAAGGCCCAGTGTTGACCGATTTGGGCAAAAGAGGCCCAAATACCGATACCGACAATTTAACAGATAACAGCTCGGAAATGATTTTCGGAGACTTCTAAATTAATGATTTGGAATATATATTATTTCAAGAGGCCATTACGATTTGGAACACGCAATATATTTTATTTGACCCGATAAAATAAAATATATTTAAAACAGTCTGAAAAATACAACTTTCGGGGCAAATTGTACACTTCGGGACAAAAGGAGATGATCTCCCACATGGGTGGGTGCCACCCCACGAAATTGTCAACCAATGTGGGTTGAATGAGTGCTAAAATGGATGAGGGATACTTGAAAGGATGGGGGAGACACCATTGACATCCAATGGACCCCTTTTCCACACCTATTTGTCAAATGGAACAAAAACGACATCTCCCTCTTTCCCCCCACTCATTATTTCGGCCAGCCCCCAAGGAAAGGAGAGGAGAGATCCCTGAAACCATACCTCCCATAGCTGAACTCGAGCCCAAGCTCAAACAAGAGGAAGGAAGTAGTTTAAGGGAGAAAAAGTGAAGAAAAGGTGTGAATAATTAAGGTAATGACCTTATAACCACTTTTCCCTACTCTTTTGATTATCATATGAAATATATATCATGTGAAGGACCCTTGGTATGGTTCCACATGTTATAAGTATGGATTTATGGGTTGAAAGGTGGTTCTACGTCCAAGAACGGACTTAGAAGCCAAAACGACCGGTTCACCGGAAAATAACCTTTTTGAGGTTATTTGTATTAACATGAGTTTTATGATTATAAAACCTTGTTAGGCACTTGTAAAGGGTATTTCAAGTGATTTTACAAAGTTGGAAAAGTCGCCGGAGTTGTCGCCGGAGTTTCACCGGAGTTCAACCAAGAAGGGTAGAACTTCATAACGCTAGTTCAAGGTGAGTGGACGGCTTAATATCTTATAACTTTTGGGTTAATTATGAGATTACCTAAATAAATGTTATATGAGTTCATAATGATGTTTAAAAGATATTTAAACATGTGATTAGCCAATAGGGTTAAATTTGTATGAAAGGAATTAATTGTTGATGCATGGAATATGATATGAAGAATTATATGAAATGTATATTTGTTTGAAGTGTATTAGAAGCACAAATGAATATTATTAACTTAATTATATGGTGATTAAGTTGATACACACAAGGCATGAAATGGCGGTCAACGAAAACGTTGACCGATGGACAAAGGATTTAATTAATACCGGTTGCTATTAATTAATTATAAATCTATATAAATGCATGGTTTTGCATGGATTGTGATACACAAGCCTTATGTATTGAATTAGTTATGAGTAACTAAGTATGATATAGACTCTATCTAGGTTGATAGAAGGTTGATCATAGGAAAATATTTTGGTGGAGGACCCTAGTACTTAAAAGTACTTAACACTCAAAATTTGGTGGAGGACCCTAGGACTTAAAAGTCCTTAACACTCGGATTATAAATTG